ACAGCTGTTTAAGTACGGTTCCTTAATGATTCTTTGAAAAATTTCATTTAACAGTTGTAAACAAGACCTAACCTCTATAGTCTTCGAATATTTAGTAAACAGGATTATTTTATAATCCTAAGTTGTGTAGTGCTGATTCTTAAATATTGTCAAATTAGAATAGAATCAGTTGTTCAATTTCCTACTATTTTTCGACAATTCTCCGGTTGATGTTAATTCATGATTCACAAAAATAACTCGCGAGGCGGGATCGTGGATACACACTGCAGAGGAGTCCCACAATAGGATGAAAAGACAGTTTAGTGTTTCCAGGTTCTCCATGGTGGTCTAGCTTCCATTCACTCATCATCTCAACTAATAAAATTACTATAATACTCACAAAACTCCTTCTCATACTAATCAACATATGCTCATTAGTGACTGGCTTCAAGAGCTATCTCCTGGAGTTCTAGTGAGAAACAGTGACCAGTGGAGTTCAACCGGGTCTATTGTGAGATATTAAATGACTGATGACAATGGTGGATGTATCGCTCAATTTCGTGGATTAGTTGAAGTTAGACATTAACACTGTTGGATCCCGACAGGCTGAGTGGTCTAGAGGTTAAGCATTCGCGCGCGAGACTGATAGGTGCTGGGTTCGAATTTCGCGAGGTGGGATAGTGAACGCGCACTACTGAGGAGTTCCACAATGGGAAGAAACGACCATCCAGGTTTTCTTTGGTTGTCTAGCTTCAACTGAATCATGATCTTAACCATTGAAATTACTATAAAATCCACTAACCCCTTCTGAAATATCTCCAAATTAAATATCCTTAAATTTCATTAACAATAAGGTCCCTTTTGATTTCTTCATATATAAAATAATTTGAGGATAAAATCACCCTCTCAGTAATATAATTATGCCATAAACTATCTGTAAGCATACAGTGAGCAATACTTCGATAAAAATCAATGAAACTTTGATGAAACATTTTATAAATATTCTCTATTAGATAGTATGTTTATGGGAAATGGGATGATAGTACCAGCTTATTAAAATACTTTCTGATGAAAGCATTTTAACTAGGTGAAAATGGAATTTGAATTCATATATATATAGGAAACTTTTCTGTGAACATACGTTAGATATGTTCAAAATTTAATTAGATGTCTACCGACAACTCAACAATCTATCCATAGATATAAGATAGTTAGAGGTGAATAATGTACAGCTCAAGATCTTACATCCGGGATACCAAGGCCAATCTGTTATCTTGGAGAAATTGATGCTTTTTGTGAAACTTATTTTACCATGTATCAGCGACTGATATTGCGTTGCTGGAGCCACAGGTTACATTCTATAAGATTGAGATTTTTACTCTGATAGATTATTAGCAAAACTGAAAAAAACTGGTACTTGCTACAGGAAACAGAAATTTTTAAGGTCCAAAGGGGGAAGTACAGTGTATAAAAGACGATTTATTATGCGCCGAAAATAGGACATCAGCGTCGGAATGCACTGAATTCTGTGCTTTGCTTATACTGATCTATATTCATACTTGAATACATTCAATCGGGCAATAAATGAATATTAATTATCCAGTAACTTAATGTATGCAAACGATTTTGGATGTTCATAGATAAAACTCCTTTAATTCATAAATTAATTAATTTACGGAGTTAGGTGGTTTGCTACTTTCTAACAATCACTTAAGTATCAACCTATATCAAATCTGAACCTTTAAGCTTGTTGTATTCTATCAACTTGATGTCACAGTCACCTTCGCTTAATCCTAATTATCTAGAAGCAATAGAAACTGATCTCTACAGTCTAATAGTCATCACTATGCTAAATGGTTACGGTGTAACAGTTTAGGTTGTCAAATTTCAACCTCTGGATAAGGAGTTCAACCCCGATAGATACATATACTGATAATCCTTATAATTCCGATTCTTCAGTTACAAACACTTATTATCAAATATTATATTATATTCCAAAATGAATACAGTTGTAAGCATTTGATGGAAACACACGAAATAAAAACGAAATCATATTATTCTGCGTCAGTTTTTTTGCATTATTCGAATTTATAAAGGGAAAAACTTATTGTATGAAATCGCATTACAATATTAACTTTACCAAAAAAAGAATAAGAATTTGAAATAAAGTAAAATCATCAGCATATCATATTTCATCTTTGATTATGGGAGAGAACAAACCAGATTCCAGCACAGGAAGAAATCAGGAAGAATTGCTGGAAGTGGATAGGACACACATTGAGGAAAGCACCCAAATGCGTCACAAGACAAACCCTTATATGGAATCCTCAAGGCCAAAGGAGAAGTGGAAGACCAAAGAACACATTACACGGAGAAATGGAGACAGATATGAGAAGAATGAACAACAACTGAATAGAACTAGAATGGAAGGCTCAGGACAGAGTGGGTTGGAGAATGCTGGTCAGCGGTCTATGCTCGATTGGGAGTAACAGGCGTAAGTTTGGAAATGAAAGTTTACCTAATCAACATAAAAGTCTGAAAAACGAAACAATAGAAGAATGAAAAAGGGAAAAAATCCGTTAAAACAGAACAGATCAATGAAGACTAACGACTGATCATATAAATATGTTCACAAAAAACCTTCAAATTAATTAACGAATAAAACAGTTAAGTCCATTAATAATTTTCAGTGAAGAAACTATTCTTTCACCTATGAAAATGTTAGACTAAACAATTTTGAAAGGCTTCTTATTACTACTTACACGATGTTACAGTGCTTCACCATGTATTTCATAATATTTCATTGTGATAATAATATTATTATTACTATTATTATCGCGTGCATGGATTTTAATATATTTATGTCTCATCCTACCAGAAGATATAGAAGAAGAAAGATATGAATGAAGGGGATGGTTAGTATCTGATAACACCTGCCAGGAGTTTACAAGACTTTAGATGTCCATCCAAAACCATATTACTAATGACTTCAAAAGATCAACCATACACCTTCCTAACTACCTTCAGCACTCTCTGTAGCACATCAAAGTATTTTTCTCAGAAGCCCGGGAAAGAATAATGGAGAACAGTAAAGAATAATAGGTAATGTGCAGGAATCGACTAAATGTAAGAGGAAACGTTGAGTAGTCCCAGTATAATTACGAAGTAGAGATTTGCTGATCCAGATACACATACAATAGTCCTGCACTCGACCCATGTTAAATGAAAGATTATATTGTAAATCCCACAAGCAGCTTGAAAATCTCAAAATAATCATTTACATTCGTATTTAGATCCCGTCATGAATCAATACACTTGATCAAAGGTATGGCCTAAAAGTAAACCCGAAAACAACCAAAGTATATTAAGTGAACCCCTAAATAGCATTGTGTAATTAGCAGATAAGTACATTTTTCATGGTCACACCTACGGAGTTCAGGAGATTCTTCACGGCGACCACGACTAACAGAATTATATTGGCAGTTTTAGCTCACGTCATAACTACAGAAGGGTTGAGTGATAAAAAGGCGAGTTAGAAAATATTGTATCCAGAATTGCACCTGGAACAAAATTAAACAATCATAGGTTTTAGACTTGATAGAAAGGAATTTCAACCCAGTTCTGTTTTTTAAGAAAATCGCTAGATTTTGTCTTTTTTATATGAATAAATAGAAATTTCTAAACTGCTTAAGGACTTATCCTCGTTCACATGATCGAGTACAAAGTTTTTATCAGCATAAGAAAAGCAGATATGAACAATTTGATACGTTTGGCAAGTTATCTCGACAATGAAAGACACTGGTACAAATCTGATATGTTAACAGTCGATCCTTACCTTTACAAATGAGAGTCCGTATTTTTACCCCAGAATCTGGAATATAATCTGATTCGTAAACTCTAGGCACAATCTGAAATATACTAGGTTTTTATATCCAAAGACCAGATTCGTGTGTCAAGTTTTTGAGGGATTTGGGATTTTTAAGACTCATAAGGCCGAAACAAACCTACAATGAATCAATAAAGCTTTTGAAGCTTAGTTTCTTATCAATCAGTGAACAGTAATCGATGTTATAACGTATTCTTTAGGGTCGATAATATTTTATAATCTAGGATTTGAAGCGTAACCGGTAAATTGATAATTTATATGTTACCGTACTTCATCTACGTTTCGGGCGAATGAACACAATTAACTGTAGTTAATTGGTCAGGGCTTTATGCATGTGTTAATGAGATTTGCTTGTAAAGCCAAGAAAGTGCATAGTCTTGCGAAACAATTAGGAAGTATTCAGCAACCACACTTCGAGACTTCGTCAACCTTGCGCTGTCTGTACAAAAATCGCTTTCAACAACCTAGCCAATTTTGTGTAATTGGTTCCCTTTATTCCAACCCAACTAATAGTTTGAGAAAACATAACCCAAAAACACTAACAAGAAATATCGATTATGAAGCAAATTACAAACCCAAGACATAAAATTGTATTTGCCCCTTGGTACGGCCGAGGGTGAAGAGGGTCCTCCCCCCCTCTCAAAATGCTCTCACATGGCCACATTTATACAGCCATTGCCAGAGAGGCCCTAGTCACTGCCTTTTCATGGCGGGGGTGTTGTTTACAAAATTGAGAGGACGAAAAGCGTACGTTCGGCACTTTAACCAAGTTGGTGGGAACAGAGGGTCCATCTGAAGGAGTTGGAAAACCATGATCTCAAGCCGATGGTACACAAAATCTCCAGTATCCTGAAAGGACAAATGGCGTATGAACCAATTGTTGACCATCGACCGCCATGGGACTGCATCTCCTAATGTTGCTGCACTCTCTTGTGGATCAGACCTTTAGGTCAACGGTTCTGGGTGTGGCCCTCTAAGAAAACCATCTGCTTCGATTTGGATGCCCTAGCAGTATTACAGCCCTCATATAGATCAATGATAACTGCTACTGGCCTCATTGTTATTGTGTGGCGCATATGTATTTGGTGCCCTCCTTGGTTGATGCGTTCAAATAAATGATAAGTTTAGAACATTTAGTAATCACTCATATATTTTGACAAAAATGAAATCACAGTTTCAACATCAATAACTATACATGTGACTAAAGAAATCGGAGAATAAACCAGCACATGAGGAAAATGATGCACATGAATACAATTACATAACAGCATAATCCAGAGGATAAATTCTGTTTAGCCATTCGAGATAATCGAGACATTGTAGAGCGAAGAACACCTTCCGACCGATCAAAAGCTCCGGCCATATCTCCGAGTAAGTTATTTTGAGATCGTAATTCATCTCCTATTTTTATCGAAAGACTACGAAGTCCATCGACTTTCTCTCTGAGTTCAAGGTTGAGACGGTCATGATCATCATGTACAGGACTTGGCCAGTATTCTAAAGTGCTACTAGCTAAATTTGCAGATGCATCAACCCTCGCATGATTCGGCTGAGAATGAACATATTTATCGCGAGAAGTCATGAAATTACAGGAATTTGAATGTATTTGCTATGTGCACCTCAGATCCATTTAGTGCACCGCACAAAACAGTTGTCAAGATACCTATAAAATCAAGAGATAAGCCAGTTTTTTGTTAATGAAGTGGTAATAAACGTTTATAAACAAACAGTGTACGCAGACCAAAATATGTAAAAAAAACCCTGTTTATTTGATAAGAATCCTTCCAATTATACTAAGCAAAATGAAAGGATGAGAAGAATATACATATTTGCTAACGTTAAATTATGTGAAGAGATCATTAAATTGAGTTCAAACCGAACTCCGGCTACCAAACAATCAGCCAATTTGACGTTTTAGATAAACAAAGAATAAAATAGGAGAGTCCTTGTGGTGCTGTCTGTTTCTTTCTCTTTTCAATGGCACACAATTTACGGTAGTTTTATTTACCAATCAATGTCATTTTTTGTTTAGTTGAAAATGTCTTTTCTTTCTCTAATTTCCTATTGCCATTATTGCAAGGTATTATCAACTAGGATCAATGAATTGTGCCCACTACCGACCATCATAACACAGATAAGAATATCATAGACAAGCAGTTCAGAAAATATATTTATTCGAATACATAAATATTGGCACAAAGGGGTACCAAATACATATGCGCCACAAAATAACAATAAGAATGTGAAGAAATAGAGAATATAAATGCGTATAAGAGAAAGGAGAATAGCAACGAACAGAAATTAGTGTATGACAGTGAAATAATAAAAATGGGAGAAGTAGTTCAGTTAGCGAACGTACAACCAGTTAAAGAGGTTATGTCCACTTTTATGAAGAAAATAAAAGTTACAGCGGGATAACCACTGGCTTCTATTCTGAGCCATATCTGATAATGTCTTAAGCCACTGGGCTGCACCATCTCTCGGACCCCAACCAGGGAGTCGTGAAGGACCAACAAAAGCCAGCCTTTGCAGCTTTCTTTCATACCCCGACACCATGTCATACACTGACCACTTCTCTGCCTTTTCCAACCGGTCCCAGAGTCGGCAAATAATGCACGGCGTGGAATTCTCTTGGACGATATTTGTAGAACATGTCCAAGCCACCGAAGTCAATGTTTCAAGATTGTCACATCAATTGCATTATCATCTCTGTGCCCGAACACACGATGCCGAACCTCTGCATTACTAACATGGTGTTGCCATTGCATGTGAGCCATCCTTCGGAGACAACGATGATCAAACACAGAGAGTCGTCTAACATCTTCAACTCGGGGGCCAGGTTTCATAAGCATAGAGCAGAACTGCTCTCACCGACGCGTTGTAGATCCGACCTTTTACAGCCAGACTAACATCACGAGGGTGCCAAAGATGGCCCAGATTGGTATAATCCGCTCGGGCTTTCACTATACGTGCATTGATCTCATCACTCACGCCACGATCAGCACTTATGTAGCTACCTAGATACACGAACTACTCGACTACTTCTATCTGCTCACCATCCAGGGTGAGTACAGGATTAGGATCCTGCCAGTCTTGTAGAAGTACTTTGCACTTCAAAGGTGCAAAGCACATACCTTACCTACGTACATTGATTGCCAGGGCTGCCCACTCTCTCCATTCTTGTCCAACTTTGTGGTCGACGTACTTTTAGAGATAACACTTTCCTCGTCTAGATTTCCAGGGGTTGAACTTCTACCGGGAGGTTCACTTGTTGACTTAGAATATGCTGATGACAGTTTTATTTGGTGAAGACGCTGACAAAATGCAGGGTCCTCTGACCACTCTAAGCAACAATGCAAGCATGTTCGGGTTGCGATTCTCCCCATCGAAATGAAAATGTTGCTTCAGGATTGGGTTACATTGACACCCGAACTAATGATAGGGAGTGAAGTAATTGAGCGTGTCGATCGCTTCACTTATCTTGGAAGTCTCATCAGCCCTTGTGGCCTGGTGTGTGACGAAATCTCAGCACGGATACAGAAGGCTCGACTAGCTTTTGCCAAATTGCGTCATTTATGGCGTAGGCGAGATATCTATCTACCAACCAAAAAAAGTGTTTACTGCGCAGCAGTTCGTTCTGTCCTACTTTATAGCAGTGAAACATGGCCGGTAAGAGTAGAGGATATTCGTAGGTTACTAGTATTCGATCAAAGGTGTCTTCGAAACATTGCTCGTATATTCTGGGACCATCGAGTAAGTAACGCATTTGTTAGGAGACGGGTACTAGGTAAGGATGAAAAATCGATTGATGAAGTAGTGAAACTTCATCAGTTGAGATGACTGGGACACGTGTTACGTATGCCCAACCACCGACTGCCTCGATGTGGGATGTTCAGTGGTATAGCAATAGGTTGGAAGAAAGATAGGGGCGGCCAGACCAAAACATGGCACAAGTCCATGAAGTCACTGACAAGTAGACTGAGTCATATCGGTAGATGTAGACTACCTGGTTGGGGACCGCGAGATGATAGCAACCGATGGTTAGAGACCTTGAATGACATGGCTTAAAATCGTTTGCAATGGCGCAGGTGCATACACTCTCTGTGTTCTCCCAAATTTTGATCTCCTTATTCCTCCTTGTCTCTTTTTTCTCTTCTCAAATTTATTTCACTGTATTATACTCCTTGAATAACATCTCCAAACACTAATTTTCCTGATTACTGCTTATACTCTTGTTACCTCTACCACTACGGGATTTGAATCGACCACTGCATCTCTGTGCTAATGTGGTGTGGCAACTCGAACTGATGTATGTACGTACGAAGTTCTACGTTGTTACTGACTGACTGACTGACTGAAGTGCGGATTGCATGACTTGGGCATTATCACACAGTGGGACAATATCATCCTCATACTCAATGTCGAGAAGTCTTTCTCCAGGCAACAGATCCACACCATTCCAGGTAGTTACTAGATGCAGCTGCTGCTCACATCTCATTAGCACTCTCCGACCACCAGGCTTCTCGGTCCTTAGGCAAGCTTTGCCCGACTTCATTACGTTACAGTCCTCATTTCTGGTCAAACTCACGGTCACCCGGAGTAGACCGACGGGCTTCGATGAGTTGTAAGGAGCCTGAAGAAACCCGGTGTTTATAAGCGGGACGTTTCGCGAAGCCGCGAGCGGCTTTACTCGCCATTTTCATGGCGTCGTGAATTTGCAACCAATGCTCATCTATACTTTTCGGTGGAATGGTAGCTAGCCTAGAAGCTAGCTCGGTTCGATACTTACTTGCAACAGAAGTTGTAACCAATTCGCTGACATCAATCCTTTGGTGACGATCACTTCATTCGCCACTGAAAAGTAAAGTAAGATTGGCGCAGACCAGGGCATGATCAGAATTCAGATAGGTACTTCAAAAGGAGCGTCAGTCTTGCGCACAACCACGCCAGTTGTAGCTGATCGCGATGTGATCAATCTGAGTCCAGGCTTGAGATGCAGAGGGAGGACACCAGGTGGCACATCGGCGATGACTGTGCCGAAAGCTAGTGCTAGCCAGAAACAGGTTGTTGTCTGTGCTTAGTTGCAGCAGACGGTCCCCGTTATCTGTCCTGCGACCAACAAGTCCCAATCGGCCACTTAAACGATTCTCATCTGTGCCTAGACGCCCGACCTGAGCGTTCAAGTTTCCGGCTAGTACTACAATATCTGTCGAACGCACTTTCTGGGGAAGAACAGATAACTGGTGGTAGAATTCATCCTTGATTGCATCCGGGCTGCAATCTGTCGGGCATAGGCGAAAATGACGAAAAGACATCGTTTCTCACGCTGATTTCTTCTCACTTTGGTGGAACTTTCTAATCTAACAGCACATAACCGACCGTTAATGGGAATCCAATCGATTAGTGCTGCCTCAGCTCTAGCGCTTAGTGCGACATCAACACCAGCAAGACCAGACGACGCCATAGGGTCCCCGGATAAGCGCACGTAAAACAAGCGTTTTGAAGCGACAGATGGAGAGCAAAATTGTAGTACTTCACCAGTCTTGAATACGAGTCTTGGATAGACAACAAACGTTGATATTACGACTTTCCAAAGACATAGCCAGCCCTATATGTTGTCCGATCGGCATTAGTGTGCGAACGTTGAAGGCAGCCAGTTTGAATGGTGTACGTGTTTTCAGAAAAACTGTTTCAGTATTCGTGTTCGGTGGTAGCATTCAATTTTCGACCAGTCAGTGACTCGAGATCGTTTAGATAGAAAAGAGTTTCCACCAAGGGCGAGCTGCTGTATAAGTTGAAAAATAAGGATACATAAAGTGGGAATGAGTGAATAGAATTTCCAGTAAATATCGTCATTTTCATTTTATTTGTGTGCGGGCTGGGATACTGACCGGGTGCCCTGATCGAAGCGGGTGGTTTTCTTGGGGGACCACTCCCCGAGCCTTCTACCTGAAGGTCTGATACACAAAACAGTGGAGCATCGTAAGGAGATGCAGTCCCATGGTAGCCGGTGACTAACAATTGGTTCATACACCATTTTTTCCCTCAGAGTACTGGAGCCCATGTGCACCATTGGTTTGGGATCCGGTCAAATCGCCGGACATTCGCTTTTCGTCCTCTCAATTTCGTAAACAACACCCCCACCACGAGAAGGCAGTGAGTAGGACTTCCCTGGCAGAGGCTGTATACGCGTAGCCGTGTGAGAGCATTTCGAGAAGGGCGAGCCCTCCCCTCTATTGGCCATACAAGGGCATTTGGGGGCCATAGGTGATGTAAGTTGGCAAAAACCAAACGAGGTTTTTAAATCCGCGCAGAGATTTCGTCAGACATCAACCCATTAGTGCTAATTAGACTTCAAAGATAAGTGAAGCTGTCAACGCGTTCGACTAATTCACTCCCTATCCTTAGTTCAGGTGTTGACGCAGGCCAGTCCTGAAGCAACATCTTGCATTTTGAGGGGGAGAATCGCATCCCAAACATCCTGGCATTGTTTCTCAGTGCTACCAAAAGACTGCATTTATTCAGCGTCTTCACTAAATAGGACTATACCACCTGCGTATTCTAAGTCGATAAGTGGACCTCATGCAAAGAGATTAATTCCTGAAATTTCAGTTGACGAAAATGTTATTTTCAGCAATAGGTCTATGATGAAATTAAACGGAAGTGGAGAAAGTGGACAGCCTTGTCGGACACTACTTGAGGTTGCGAAATCAGATGATAGTTCGCCATAAGCTCTGACTCGATTAGTAGTGTTCGAGTAAAAAGCCTTCATAAAGTTTATGCACTTTCGAGGTACACCTTTCAATGACAAACACTGCCACAGAACCTCTTGATCTACAGAGTCAAATGCTGTTTTTAAGCCAAGAAAGACCACCATTATCGGACGCCAATAAGCATGCCTGTGTTCTAAGATCTGACGAATAATGAAAATGTGGTCGATCCAGCCACGATGAGGTCTGAAGCCAACCTGATTTTCTCGTGTCTGCAGGTCGAGTCTTTGTTAGGTGTTAGCGGGACATAGACTGGATTAAAGCATGCTCAATGCATGATTGCTTTGGCGCACGCTGATTGGCTGATTTTTATCCAATCAGCACTAGTCGATAGTTGGAGAAAACTCTGGAACCTTCTTACGTAAAAGCTATAAATATACTGACGTTTTCCCTATTGTGCTTCTGGCTTGCATCTTGCTTCCATCTAACCTTGTTATTTGGAATATAATCTCTTTCCTGTTCAACTGTGTTCTGATTTGGGGTCTTGTCGAGTGAATCGGTGTCCAAGAATACTAAGCAATAGAAATAGCTGGGTCATAACCGTAAGAAAGAGAGTTATAACATTAGGCATCCGATACTTTTTGAGGCCAGAATTTTAGATGCTATATTAGTCAAACTAATCCCTCTATAGTTATCATAGGATGGTTTCGACCCCCCTCTTATATATTAGGACAATCAGTGATTGTGACCAGTCAGATGGGATTACAATCAGTTCCCAGATTACAGCTAAAATATTAATCAACCTAATCGCTATAACTCGACTACCATACTTAAAGACCTCTGGAGCCAATCCATTTGCAACAGCTGCCCTTCCTCGTTTCAGATTAGCCATAACTTTTTGAGCTTCAATTAGAGCCGGGGCTACTTCAATGTTTCATTCAGGATGTTTGGGAGTGGTCGGTAGTTGTAGAGTAGCTGAAGGCTAGCTGAACTGCTCCTATAAAAGTGGACTCTCCCCACCCTCGGTCGTACCGGGGCAGTTGCGAGCAAAAATATGGAACGCTTTGCGATTTTGCGTATCATCCTTGCACAGGAGCCATGCTAATCTCCTCTGTATCGTTCCAATTTTAGTATACGTACTGCCGAAACTATTACATTGGATAAATTTATCTTGAAAATATTTGTTGTTAACGTATTTTATTTAGCCAGAAAATTCAGTCACAGGTTGTAGAAATTTCGATAACGTTTATTAACACTTAAATAATATCAACAGAATAACAGTATCATTAGGTGTTTCTGGACTAGGTCAACTGGAGAGTATTGATATTTTGAAGGGTTGCTTATTTATCCATTTTTCTGTGAGATGTGTACATAGACGCTCCGGTGTAGAAGAAATGATTAAGGAAGTAATTTGTGTTGCATCTTATGTGTGAGGCGACCTCACTAGCTAATGGCATAAGTTAATAATAAACGTACTTAGGCAGCTTATGAAATTCGTTGCTATAGTAATTATGTGCCAAACCAATTACCTTCCCTAAAAGTTTGATAGCCACTAGATATCACTTTTTGAAGGGATTAATAGCAGAAACGTTACATGAACAGCCAAAACAAACTGTTATAACAAATGCAACTAATACTAGGCGGAGAGGAGGCATGAAGGGCTTTTGTCAAACATCAATCATTATGTATAACACGCGGACAGTTCCACATATAGCACTGACTTGAGGTTTAAAAAGTAATTATTGCTGCCAAAAATTTTCATGATGTTTTCCAGTATCTGAGAGCCTTATATTTTATTGCACATAAAATTCGTTTTTTTGGTAGTACTAATAGGGAATTATGAAAAACATTAACTACGAGTACCAACGTAAATTATCACTTATGTGACGTAATGAAGACTATGTTCCTTTTACCGGACAACGCATTTTCCATTAATGTTGTTCAAAATATACTGCGGTTAAGAGGGTAACTACGCTTTAAGAACGATTCCGATAGGTTTTACTGAACAAACGTCAGTGAGTTCCTCGGAAAACAGAGAACAATCAAAACACTTACACTTCAGAAACTGGCTTTATAATATATTTAGGTATTCCAACTTAATGGTTAGTTATTAGACAAACATACACTAAGATGGTTTGAAACATCTGTATCACATTATACTGGACAGGAATGCTCATATCAGTTGAATAAACCATACACGAGGGTGCGGAGTACAACTTTCTAATGTTGAACAAAAAGAATAACGATTATGTTTTTGATAACTGATTCACCTATGGTGCTTTCTTACTAACAAGCGTACTTACCGAGGAAAAAATGAGGGTTGCTACTTGTTGTAATATAATACCGAACCGTTGTATTTGTATACCCACCTGTTTGCATATCTACAACCAATATTAATTAGTAACAGGTACATCGAAAACTATTTTCTTAATCAAAACGAACCCGAACAAGCTAAATTTATTTTCACCGAATTTTAGTTTCATGATGATCAGAATAAGTAACATAACCTTGGCTAAGAAAAAAAGGCCCATGTGGTCACTAGATTTGATTAGAATGACATATGCCCCCAAATGCCCTAGTACGGCAGAGAGTGGGGAGAGTCGCCTCTCCCTCTCGAAATGCTCTCACATGGCCACGCGTATATAGCCTCTGCCAGGGAAATCATACTCACTGCCTTCTCGTGGTGGGGGTGTTGTTTGCGAAATTGAGAGGACGAAAAGCGAATGCATGGCGCTTTGACCGGGTTGGTGGACATGGAGAGTCTACCTAGGGGAGTTGGAAAACCACAATTCCAAACCAATGGTGCACATGGGCTCCGTTATCCTGAAGGAAAAAATGGTGTATGAACCAATTATTGGTCAATGGCTACCATGGGACTGCATCTCCTTACGATGCTCCACTACCTTGTGGATCAGACATTCAGGTCGAAGGCTCCGGGTCTGGCCCCCTAATAAAACCACCTGCTTCAGGTCGGGCACCCGGGCAGTATCACAGCCCTCACAAAGCAAATGAGATTTGTGTGGCGCATATGTATTTGGTGCCTCCTTGCACCAATATCTATGTGTTAAAATAAATAAAAGAATGACATATACACACATAAATAACACTAAACACTTCACATCGAACAACTCAGACTGGCGATGAAAATTCAAAGTCAATATTTGGACGCTGTCAGAAAACATTTTGACGTGTGTTTACTCTCAACCTTACTTGTCTTTAAGAGTTTGGGTGGTTTCCATGAAAAATCTCGAACCTCTGTTACTTTAATTTACTCAATTTTAATAGTCGACGTGGTTGAGACCGTTAAACTTTTCACGTAGTTTGGTCTATATCAAATTATTATTGTGATAGAGGTAGTTATTCAGAATATGTTGGCTAGGAATCAAAGATTAGATCCTTACTGCTTGAGGTTTATGTTAAAAGAGCTAGTGAAGGTCCTGGACAACTTGGTCAAACAACTTAGCACATAAAAACCGTTAGAAGCTTATTGTTGGTAACACACCAGGTAGTTAAATTGAATAACATATAACCCTTGTGTAAAAGCTCCAGCCTTACCATACATTTAACAATCAATGAGTAAACTACTTGTCGACCGAACATAAGTTGACGAGTGGTCTAGCATCTTGACCAACGACAAGCATTCAACAAATATTAATAAACATAACAATTAAAACGGATAACTAATGTTTTGCTGACACACCGAATTATATCCATTTAGAGCGCAAGAATGCTTCCCCTTCCTAATCTCCAGATTTTGGGGGAAAATGTTCGTTCTTGGTAAAACTTGGGGGAAGCCGCAATAACGGACTTCATGAAGGGGGAACAAAAACCTCAAAATTTCCCGGGTCTGGGTAAATTCCTCAAAATTTTTGAACAAATTTTGGATTTTCCCCGATATTTCCTCGAAATCTTGTAACAACAGGGTTTTCCTCAGAATTGCCCAAAAATAGGAAGATTGGGCCGAACGGCCGCCTAATAATGAAAACAGTGTAAGTTTAGTACGAATCCAAACTACGCTCGGTCCCTTGAGATATTATTAAGTGACTAATAGTTCTTGATAAAGGTCTAATGTATACAACACTCGAAGTTAAACGCGTTATAACTCTCCTTGTTTAGACAAAGACCTTATTTGACAACACGAGAAACAAAACATTTCCGCTCAACAGACTTTTAAGAACTTACCGCTGGTCCCAGAGTCAACAGTCTTATTATCAAGCTTAAGAGCACTTAGCATATCTAGAAAGTACCACAGACAGCACTTACGCGTCAGTCGTAACGCAACGACGTGAATGCCACACCTTAAAGCAATCATCCAATATCCAATATCTTCATGACAAGCTTGCATAAACTATTTGATTACTTTGCTACCTCTTCTCGTAGTTTCGGTACGGTTTCAGGTCTGCGGCAATGTCAAATGTGCTATAATTCACTCACTCGACTGTGTTAGTTACAGTCCTTTTCATAATAGTCATTTGTGGATTTGTACATCTCGTATTTCGAGTGTGTTTGTCTGAAGATAGTAAAGTTTCTGGATGCCAGCAGCCATCTCATTACCAGGCAGGGGGTCGTTTGGTTAGTTGCAACGCGAAAAATAATTGGGAAATAATTAGTATGTTAACAGATTATCGTCTCAAGTAGTGAATAAATCAGTGTTTATTAATTAGTAATTCAGAACTCTTGGGTAGTCTGGTGTAAGAATAAAAAGGCGACAAAGATGTTAAGAAGCAGGATAGGAATAAGTCGACAGTTTGTCATAGTAATAACAATTGTTGATTAGTTACAAGGCATGCATCAGACGCAGTTGATCCAAGAGGGAGACGATAATCCATGAGTATGTGTTTGTCACATCTCCTCTTGAAGTCATTCACTAAGCAACAGTCCTGGATAGAACACGCCAATTCATATCCTCACAGAAAGAGGAGCTGTATTTGGTTTTGTTGGATCTTCTATTAGTCTGAGCTGGTGTCCATACTCCCTGTGGTTAATCACCATAAATAGCACTCCGCATGTAGCTCACCTAGAGTTACTGCCGAGCCACAGCCCAGGTAAAGAAGGAGGATTGGGAATAGGGTTTGCGACCCCATCCCGTATAGAGTGCTTTTATGAACTATTGAATAGACCAGCTTCATTGAATCGACCGAACATTGAAGCAACACACACAGACCTTCTTATAGATGTCAACCCACCAACAACCGAAGAAAATAGGATGGCCATCAGACAAATCAAGAGCGCGAAAGCAGCAGAACCCGAAAATATACCAGCTGAAGCACTGAAGTCAGACGTCGAAGTAACTACAAACATACTTCATCTTTTATTCAAGAAGATTTGTGAGGAGGAAAAAGTGGCGATGGACTGGAAAGAAGGACAACTCATCAAGATTGCAAGGAAAGATCTGAGCAAATGTGAAAACTAAACTACAGAGGCATTACACTATTGTCAGTACCACGAAAAGTTTACAACAGATTGTTGATTAACTGGATGAGAGATTCAGTAGATTCTCAGCTATGAGATCAACAGACTGGATTCCTTAAGGATCGGTCGTCTACAAACCAAATTGTAACACTACGGATCATTGTTGAACAGTCAGTTGAGTGGAAGTCGTCACTATACATCGACTTCCTTGACTATGAGAAGGCGTTTGACAGTGTGGACAAGTGAATCTTATGGAAACTTCTTCGACACTATGGTATACCTGAGATCCTCAACATCACGCAGGACTCATACGACGGACTACAGTGCAAAGTAGTGCACGGAAGACAGCCGACAGACCCGTTCCAAGTGAGGACCGGAGTCGGACAAGTCTGCTTACCCTCTCGCCTCCTCTTTCTACTGGTGGTTGACTGAATGATGAAGACCTCGACATCTGAGGGAAAATACGGCATACAATAGACAGCTCAGAATCAGTTAGACGATTTGGACTTCGCAGATGACCTGGCCCTTCCATCGCATACACATGAACGAATGAAGATAATGACAGCCAGTGTAGCAGCAGCGTCCGCATCAGTAGGCCTTGACATACGTGAAGAAAAAGGTAACATCCTCAGATGCAACACGGAGAACGTCAACACAACCACACTTGATGGAGAAACTCTGGAAGCTGTGGAATCTTTCACGTACCTGGGAACAAGGAGGTTCAGATGCAAAAGTAAAGGCGACGATTAGCAAAGCAAGGGCCGCATTCCTACAAATGAAGAACAGATAGAAGTCAAAACAACTTTCAACTAATATCAAAGTCAGAATGTTCAATACGAACGTCATGACAGTCTTACTGTACGGTCTGAAACTTGGAGGACTACCACAACCGTCATCAAGAAGGTATAAGCACTTATAAACAGTTGTCTGCTGAAGACACTCGATATCCGTTGACCGAATACCATCAGCAACAACCTACTGTGGGAGAGAACAAACCAGGTTCCAGATGAAGAGGAAATTAGGACAATACTCTGAAAATGGATAGGACATACATTACGGAAATCACCAAACTGCACCACGAGGCAAGCCCTAACTTGGAATCCTGAATGGAAAAATAGAAGAGGAAGGCCAAAGAACACACTATATAGTGAAATAGAAGCAGATATGTAAAGGATGAATAACAACTGGAAAAAGCTGGAAAGGATTGCCCAGGACAGTGTTGGATGGAGATTACTGGTGGGTGGCCTATGCTCCTCCACAAGGAGTAACAGGAGTAAGCAAGAATTCTGAGGAGATTACTAAGAACACATCTTCTTAGAAGACACAGATTGTATGTATCCCATGTAGACAAGTATTGGTAACGTCACATTTCTATCAGTTGAATTTTAACCTCTGTATCAATTACCCATTTCTTTGATTCTGTGAGGCCCTTTCGAAGCCCAAATGGATCCCTAAAGTTTCAAGTGAACCTCCATATATTGACATCGTCAGTGTATATATGATGTCAGTATACTAATTAGTCTGGAGGTTACTAGTGAAAATCAGTAGGGAAATGGTTCTTTGTGAGTATCAGTTGTGACTCTTCATTTCGTCAGATTTCTATGTATCCAGTTCTCTGGTAAATTTCGAAGCCAGGTTAGGAGGGGATAGATGAAACCCATCTTTAAAACCCTCTCTTTGGAGAGTATTTGCGGTGCTGTGTCGGAGGCTCTAGCAGGTTCAAGAAATAATACATCGACCGGTATGTTCAAATCCTAGATGTTAAACAAGTTTTCCCATGGTATAAAGACATGTAACGTACAGGACCCCCTTTTCCAAATCCGTGTGGGACTTCATGAAGAACATTTCTTATCAATGTAATGTGACTCTTTTGTATCAGTTTGTGTCTTTCTTATCTCCTCCACTAAAGATTGGATAAAGTACCGTACTTATATTCCTTTGGAATGTTCTGTAACTCTAGGGAATCCCTGAACAGGTCACATGCCGATTTTCTGATGGCTTTTGAGTACTATTTCAAGGTTAGAGAGCAGATGTTGCCAGGTGATCTTATCCGCAACGCAACCAATGTAAACTTAATGTATCGCATACTGTCATTTGTGCGTTCAAGTAACCACATATTTTGTCATTTCATAATGTATTTTTAATTAAATAACTAGATTATGTAGTTAATTTTTCTCTGTTTTTAATTTTTATTCGCCACGTCCGACTGCGTTACACTGTACGTCCATTGCACGCTGAAATGATATCTCAAGTCATAGTGATTTTATTCACATAGTTGATTGTTTCCAGATAGACTGTCAGTGCATGATTTTACTGAAGAAAGGTTTGTTGTACTGTAAACTGTGTTCCTATGATCAACTTCCTGTTGTCTTCAGTATGAGTTCATACTGAATACTGCTTTAAAGCAGTATATATGTATCCTTCTTTTTTTCTTAGGTAAGTTCAACTGGCCTATATTTCGTGTTTTGGTTTTATCGGCTTAATTATGTCCATTTACCTACTTTGAGCAACATGTCTTTGCAAGTGAAACAATAACTATGACACTTGCTTAGTTTGATTTTCTTGTTTGTCGTATAATTCAGTTTAGTTGAAGGAATTATGATATAATTAAGTATAGTGCTTGAAGCCTGTAACGAAACAGATCAGTTTAGTAAGTATACTCTATAGAGTTGCCTGTTTCCAATGTGTATACGGATTCAGATCAGCCTGATTAAAAATAGGAAAAAACGTGCCTTTGATGCTGTTGCTATATAGCATGTATGATATCATACATTATAAGATAGCGATAAGTATGTTTGGTGTTTATTTCTAAACTGTACATCTATCACTGACCATATTTCATGATCACTGTCATTAAACAATTTCCCCATCAATAACATCGGTAGCAAGATAGCTAAGTGTCTGAGCTTTTAGTTGCCCGCAAAACAGCAGTATACAGTCTTAGAAGATGAGTGTTCTGTGTCTCAATTAAATGCAGCTGGCTGTGGACAAAGGTTAAGAATCTTTTTGACAACTGGGACTTTTAGTTTATCAGACACTTACTCTGCTTGTATGTTGTCCTGTTAAACTAGACGCAGATGCATGGGAATACTTAAATGGGAGCAAAATAATAAAAGCATTGCAATACGGTACTAAGCCCATGTCACGCTTTGCGCAAGTAATAGTAGCTGACCTTACCTAATATTCATGAACTCAAGTTAAATCACAACTGCATAAATTCTTTGCTAAAAAATATGTAATTTGGTTATATATACATTCCACATTTCTGACTAAATTCATCACCATTTTTTCATTTAGAATGCAACAGGAGTGAGTCTTCACAGATCATAAAAACTGTTTCGCCCTTAGAACTATGGCCCTATGGAACTGTTTACGGGAGATCCAACGAACAGCAGATGATAAAAAGGATGCTGTACTTCCATTTTAGTCTCACAACCACTTCCAGTATTTTGTGACTTCTTTTACTCTTTCGTTTGGAAAAATACAACGAAAACTGCAGCTTAACATTACCAATACAACTTTTAAACTGGAACTTGGTTTAAACCTTTGTTTGCTATTCGATTCTTAATGAAAGTTCTTGAATAAATTTCTGAATCTAATGCTACTCTGTTTTATCTACTTAATCGTTGCAAGAAACTTGTGATAAGCGAGCCTCTCAGCACCTAGTTCATGTGTTCAGATGGTTGTGGACTGAATAGAAGAAGCTTTCGCTTAACAGGCTTCCGTGGATAGTAGCAGGGGATCACCAATACCTCAAGGCAGAAAATTTGGTATGTTAACA